TTATTTTTATTTCATTTTAATTATAAAAGGTATTAAATCAATAAGCTGTTTTTCTATTTTTATGCAAGACTACAAATGAATTAATTTTAATTTAAATTATATTAAAGTTCTAAAGTATTTTTAATGTTTTGATATATCTAGTATAATTTCATAATATTATTTAATTAGTTTTATATTTTCATTGTCCGTAATTTCTTTCTCTACTTTCTGCAGATTTTTTCTTGAAAATTGTTGACTTAAGAACCTCAAACAAGTTGGTGCACTTGGCATTTCAATAAATTAGGGCCCGGAAATGGTGGTATACTATTAATTAAAATTTTTAAAAATCACATTTCTATTAAGGGTTAGGTTAGGGTTACGTTTGTCTTATAATATATATTTATCTATAGTATAGCTAAACAATTTATGCCAACAATTTACTAGAGGAGAATTGAGGGTTGATTTATTCTTGACAAATATAGGGCATACTATTAGGATGTCATCTGATTAAATTTTTTATAAGTGTACATTTTTTTTTTATAACTTTTAAAAATATAACTATAAAATAATATATCTGTAACTTTTAAAAAAAATGAAAAATGCCATAATGTACAAAATTGTTTGTATCGTCAGTGGTAAGTATGTACTTTTACGAATAACTTAATATTAATTAGCTGTAGAATTTATCTACAATACACAGGCCGAAATTTAGTTCTTACTATTAATTAATATACTTTAAATAAATATTTCCTATTTACCTGTGTATAATATGTATGGAGATTTCATGAAAATGAAAACTAAATCTGGGCTAACAGCATAGGTGTGTTTACGGGAGTGGCCGGGTGGGCGTTGCTCCCCCTCTGCGGAATGTGCCTCCAACAAAATAATGCCAAGATAAAAAAAATGCATGCGATCTGTACTTACTATCTACTAACAGTTTCAGTTGAGTACAGACCAGTAGTACAATGTATGTGTTTTTATTTGAGTTTTTAATGTATTTTTATTATTCATGTTTACAAAAAAGAAAATAAGCCTCATGATTTAAAAATTTGTCGTGCCCCTTCTTCCACTAAAGTCTGAATACGTATATGGCTAACAGTAATATGTTAGAAACTCACCACAATCGTGAATAATACATTTAATATTTTACTGTACTTCTCAAATGATTTTAACATTTTTTTTCAGTGTCCACTTATAGATGGGATTTATTATATAGACACTTAAATAATAGAGATAATGTTAATCAGACGGTTTATATTAAAAAACTATTTATTATACGTTGAGTTTCTAGATATGATGTATGTAAGGTTCTTTATCTCGGTTATAATCAAATAAAAAAATGCACTTAGAAGATTTTGTTAAAGACTAAATTCAAAAACAAGAAACTCGTAAATAAGCTTTTTCAATATTTTTTTGATGAAATATTGACCGATGAAGTATCATTTCAAGGGACAGATGAAATTAAAAATGATGTATTTTGGACATTTTTGACCATTTAATTAGTAATTTAAATACTAAAAAAATGTTAAATTCAAAATTCAATCAAAACTTTGGATTCTTTCTTAAGAAAATTATAAAACCATTAGACAATGTGCGAAGAATGTTATTAAATTATATCTTGATGATGTAGTTATATATATAACAAATATATTTTGTTTGTAATGATCGGTATTGTGATGTGAGTGAGGGGGTATTGAGGTGGAAAAATATGTGTGCCTCCGGCATATTAAACACATGACATTGGAATTACAAGATGTATTTATGTATATAGTTAAATTGAATAGATAAAAGAAACTTAGATATAGGTTATATAATAGACAGAGAAGTATTTTTTTTTTATTTTATGTAAAGTCGATAAAAGGGTTGGTCCAAAGACTTTTACCTACTTATATGGTGTGCAGATTAGTTAAAGTGAAAGTTTATTTGCATAAGACTTTTTGTTACTAAACTGTACAGTAAACGTGTAACCGTAGATACTTGAATGTAGATATTTGAATATCTCATCTAGGGTTTTATATATAATTTTTTCTTACATGATATTATTTAATGTCTTTGAATGTTCAAGGCCTAGCAAAACTCTTTGATATCAGTAACTTTGGGGATTATGTAATATTTTAATGAGTAATTGTCGATTGGCCATTGACTATTAAGTTATGGTATTTTCTGAGATCAAAAATGTTAAGAATATACATTATGTATTGTACTATATGACATTAATTATAGTTGTGATGCTAGTAACAAGTACTATGTTTGTGTACTTAATGTGTTTTATGTATAGGGACATAGTTATTTATTTTAATTTTTGGTCACTAAACTTGCTCAATTTTACTAAAAGACTTTTTTGATATTATTTTTGTTTTATGGTTGTATATAAAATATTTACAGATATGAATAATAATGTAACAGAAAAAAAACAGTCATCAAACAAAAATATTTATACTTTGAAAATATTGAAATATCTGTACTTATTTCGATAGCAATAATACATTCGGCAAATTGACATGTTTTTTCACTTTCTTGTGCTCAAATGCTATATTAGATAATATAGGTAAGTACAATACAACATAGTAATACTGTATGAACCAAAACGGAAATTAATGAGAAAAATCAAAACGGATTCTATGTGTTAGTTTTTAGTTGAGTTAAAAAATTTAACATGTTGAGTCAACCAATACTTTGTGTTCATGGATCGAATAGTTTTAAATTTAACATCGTATATGTAGTAGTAATTCTTATATTATATATATAGGGGTGAATTTAAACTAGTGTAGTGAGGGATTATATTTTATGTTATATCTTTCTTTTCCTTTCTCTATACAGGAGGAAAAGAAAACATTAGTTTTATTTTAACTTGGATTTGTACACCTACATGTTTTCTAAAAGTCCTAAAATTTTGACGTCCTCGAAACTGTTTCACACGCCCCGTTGTAATTTATTAATCCGAGAGTCTTTGTTCTCACAGGAAAAATGTTTGTACAACAGTGTAAATATATTTTGTATTTTCGTGTTTAGTTACGATAACCGAATAAAATATGTGAATTAATAGCACGATAGTCGGTTGTTAGAATGTACTATATTTCGTCAGGGGGGAGAATAGTAGAGGTAATTATTCAATTGGAAAATATTTTCAAAAGTTATCGATAATTTTTAATGTTAAGACAAAGAAATAAAACAAATGCGAAAAAGGGAATGATTTGTGATAATAAGAAATTACCATATATATGCGACACGTGTGTATTGCAGATATTCAGTAAGTTTTAATATTAATGTAAAAATTAAATTAAATATGAAAATAATGCAAACATAAGTAGTTTTACCATGAATTCATTATCCGTTATTGGTGTAAAATGGATAGTAGAGGAAAATGGTATCATATTTTTAAAGGAAAATTACTACTGCCATATATTTAATATACCAACTCAATTATTAAAAATCGAATCCTCAATTTTATTCAATTGTTCCAAACATCTTGTTGGATTTTGATTATATTAAAATATTCATAGGATTTGGTTGATAAGGTAGGAACATTTACATATTAAATAGTGGCTTAAAATAATTTTGTTCGTAAAATTATGTTATGTAAATAAAAACCTAATAACTTCTTAATTTATTCTATGAAATTATCATGCATTATAATATTCGGTTTCAATACCCGATTGAAATATCCAATTGGTGCCTATACCTAATAGGGATGGGCATGAAGTCCGAATATCTGAATTATCCGGATATCCGGATATTCAAATTCGGATTTGAATCAAATTCTTATCCGGATTTGCCAAAGTATCCGGACTATCCGGATTTATAAATTTGTTTTTGAAGTGAAACTTCTTTACTGAATATATGACAAAAATATTTAGTCACGTGATCGACTGATCAGAATGAAATGACTGAACGACACTCTAATAAGGCGCATGCGCGTCGTATACCTGCTACGCTACGGTCAGTATACTACCCCAACACTCTTTTATTTTCTAAGCCCAACCTAGTGGATATTGGAATTAGAGACCCCGGATCCAGGGGGATCTGAGTTTTTTATGGCCGCAGAGTAATTTCTCCCATTAATTACTAATACCTATATAGTTATTTGTATAAATATATACTTTTTTTCTATATTCACCCCTTTAGGGGTGAAATTTTGAAAAATCTTTTCTTAGTGGACTTCTATATCGCGAAACAAAACTACAGACTAAATTTCATCATCATAGTGTCAGCGATTTCGGCTAGGCGATAATGAATCAGTCATTCAGTCAGGACAAGTTATTTTATATACATAGATATAAATATATATAGTATACAGTATACAGTATACTGCTTATATAATAAATAAATAAATATATACTTTTGAGAGGAACTGAAAAAAAAAAATGTTTAAAATGACTAATACTAATTTTATTTAATTTTTGTGAATTGTGTTTTGTATAAAATAATTGTTATTTTGTATTATTGTATCTTACACATACACGGATATATCTTTGGTTATTTCATACTTGGTATAAATAAAATAATAATTTTTTTTAATTATCCAAATTATTGATAAATTATTTTAGAACATTAATTCAAGTTAAATAAATTCGGTGAATACTATTAGTATAATACGAGTATTATTAATATCGTATTGTGAGATTTTGTTAGTGATATCGATGAGCTTAAAAAAAACGAATTTTTTATTCCTCATAAGAATTAAATGTCATATTTTTTAAATATAATAAATTCATAACGTTTTTTTAATTTTTAATTGGACATATATTTAAATCATACTATTTAAAACTTTCTTTAGTGTCTTTCTTTTCCTGCTTATAATTACAATTTAAAAACGTATTGCAAACTAAATAAATATGATTTTATCACTAGGCTTACAATATTATGTATTTTTAACTTAATAATATAGGTAAACTTGATCTAATTAAAAACTAATATAATTTATTATCTTATATTACCACAGTACATATATTTATTAAAAACGTAACATAATTAACATTAATTGAGTATTTAATCAGGAACTCCCTAAATTATCAAAACGATTAAATTTATATAAAAATATAATTCTACATAATATGTTACATATATAAATTAAAGTAAACGAAATAAATAAAATAGTGGTGTGTTTGATTCGCCGGAAAGGAGGTACAAATAATTTACGGGTTCTAGTACTTTTGCATAGTTTGGAATTTTTTGCGACTGAAACTTCAAACTTGCGCGCAGTACACTTGTATACGCGACTATTATACTAAAAATATTTTCTTTATGATCATCCAAAAGAACATCATGAGTCCTATGTAGACGGCACCTTTGAAAATCATATGGCAGATGTATAACCTGAAAGACAAGTATATGTCATCATTGTTAATAAATAAATTATCATACCATGATTTCATAGTATACAACACGCACAAATATTATTGATGTAAATCGAAGATAAAAAATAATACTTTTTAGTAAATACGCCATTTCAAAATACATAATATAACTTAAGTATGTAAGATAGAAAAAAAAGTTTAATGTTTTTGTCAATTAATTGTAGATGCACTTGAAGTAGGCATTTTATAGGTACTTAATATTTAAACATACCCTCTAAGACGTTTTTTGGCCGCCGGCAACTTATCCGGTCCTTCTTTGAGTAAAAATGTCATTATTCCTTTATGATATGTATCCAGGTACTCGTTCCAGTGCATTTGCTTAATATCGAACGGGAATAGTGTTTTATCGTCTTTATTTAACCTATCCCATAAATCATGGACATTTTTATTAGAAAATATCCATTCTCTCGTGGAAAAATATTCCAAAATATCAGTGAATTTTCCAATTTTTTTGTATTGATCGACCAATCTAGAAGTACAGATATTTTAAAATCAAACAACTTTATGAAAGATGCATATGAACAACTATTGATTACAACAATATTTATATAATATTATGGTGAATGACTTAAGTCATTTATAAGACAAACCTGAGTTTTTTCCCCCTAACTATGAAGACTAAATCCAATAGGAATGCAGGTAGGTAATGCAATATAAGTACAGTGAGTTTGTGTAAGAACATCGAAGCATTCACTATCAAAGTCGGATACCACATGGCTTTAGCCGTGGGTCGGTGTAGTATGTGGTACATCAGGGTTTCCGAAAATGTTCCCCAGGTAAGAGGATTTTCGGGCGATGATACGAAATTGTAAATCCATGGGTCATCTTCACATTTTTCGATTAACTTACTTTTACCCAAGTGTCTGAAAAACGTAAAGGGGAAAGATGAATAAAGAAATTTTTTAGCTTATAAACAGACACAGAAAGACACACACACACATACACAAATACATAAATGGTATATATATATATATGTATAAGATCGTATTGTAAAATACGAAATATGAAATTTCATGTTTTCACTCATAAGTTGAAATTATTTAGAATTTTTTTACTTAATATTTTTGTACCTTTGATTTGTTTTTTATATGATTCAATAATTTTTTTGTACGCATCTAAACAATGTTGTCAAATTATTTAAAAGTGATTTATATAGTGCTAAATTTTATTTAAATGGTAATCATTGAAAAATAATAACTATATTGAAGTAATGTTTAATTCTTTATTTTCTTAGTAATTTATGGATTTTCCAATAGAAAATAATATTACGTTTTATGATTGTATCAAACTAAGACTAAAAAATATTAATACAACTAAAAAATTCAATCAATTATAATTATTAAACTTAGTAAAAGTATTTTAAAATGCTATTGGAAACATGATCAATATCTACTATATTAAATCAAATACTCAGTTTTGATATGCAGTTATTTATAATGGTCTTTATGATTTAATATTAGAGCCAGATAAAATATCAATTTTTTAAACTGGTTTAACCTTTTGAAACACTTTTTTTTTTAACCTTCTTAAACACTATAAATGGCAAACTCACAAAGTTTTGGCAATTTTAATTTTAAATAATTAAAAATTTTACAGCTTTTTACCATAATGCTAAAATTACAATTATAGATATTTTAACTATTATTTTATAACTTATCTATTGTTGTTTGTGTACAATACTGATCATGAAATTTAATTTTTGTAATTGAATAGTTTCAATACTTTTCATTTCAATAGCCTTGAAACTTTTCAAATTTCATGAAAAGTTTCCCTTGGAAATGTTTGAATCTTTTTAATCTTACTATTTATAATATATACCTGATGTTTGTGTCCCAGGACGCGGCTATTAACGCGTTTACAGTCAAATCGGCTGGAACCAAATCTGTGCCAGCGTCTATTTCACACGGCAGCGCTTTTATTATCCCTGTCATCACGCCAGTCACGATACCCGTTGGCCCGTATAAATTGTCAATCCAACCCGGTAGAGGTTCTTTGGCCGTTGCTATCACTGTAATGCATGGACATACATATAAATAAATCGATTTTGTAAAAATCAGACCACTGCGCATAAACGTATATTGGAAATGCGTTTTTAACCAGAATTTACCTATTGCCGGACGGAATATCGTGACGGGTAGGCCCACGGCCTCGTGCTTAATCAGTTGTTCAGCGGCTGCTTTTGTCATGACGTAAGTATTTGGCATAGGTCCTAATAGGCTTAATTATAAGAAAAAAAAATGATGAAGATTTAATATAATATTCGATAAATTGTACAGTACAGTGGACAAAACGTGTGTATATTATCAGTTATATTATTCATTAGGAGTACTCTTAGGTTAAAGAATATTTTGATTACGAGTCATGTTTATGATGTTACGATGACGCGTGCATTAAAAAAGAATATTATCTATCGTTTGGTTGAAAAATAAGACAGTGGTAAAAGATAACACTTACAAAGGTTTCATTTTTTCGAGTATATTTGAGCTCTTTGTTTTGTAGAGATGAATGAGTTTTTCATAGTTGTATGGTAAATCATAAAATTTTTCATCAATGTGTTTTTTATGACAGTTAGAAAAAGCCGTAGAAACATGTAAATACGACTGAAATAATTATTGTAAGCGTATTAATTTCATGAAGTTTGATTTAAGTGACATAAGAAAAAGAGAAGTTGGAAACACATTTACTTAGGAGTGGCATAAGTTTAATACCTCGAGATTTTCCATTTTATGGGCTAGTTTTACAATTTCTCTGGCACCTATTACGTTTATTCCAATGGCAATGTCTAGGCGTTCATCAAATCGAACCGTGGCGGCGCTATGAAATATCACATTTACTTCTTTGACTAACGTGTTAAGATTTTCAATAGACAATCCCAAATCTGCGTGGCTACAATCGCCGCTGAAAGCACTAATCTTTTTCAAATATGTTGAGTTGATGTCTTTAAATATCTATAGTTTTAAAAACAAATGACATGATTTTAGGCGGTAAATAATATAAAATAATATAGTATTTTATTCAATAAAGTTAATAATCTCAAACGTACTGGCATGTTGAATATATCTTCTAATCTTTCATGCGCGGATTTTCCTTTTTTGTCTCTCACCAACAAGTAAATATGTTTGATTTGAGGACATGACCTAATCAGTTTGTTAACGATAAGTTTACCAAGGAATCCAGTTCCTCCCGTGACAAAGACGGATTTATTTTTAAAAAACTCTTGAATATTTGATTGGATATCAGGCGTGGCGACAGCCATTTTTATACCAAATATGATATTGACTAAAATAAAAAATGAAAATTCAATAAATAATATTATTTTAGGTACAAAAATATTAGCCTTAACCTGCGTTTGGATGCAATAGTGTCATTGAAAGCTATCAGTCATGTTATTAAAAAGTAGAAAGTCGTTTTCGATTTCTCCAAGATACTAGGTTTAATACTTATATGTGATGCATATTCATAACAATTTATCATTAATAGTTAGAAAATGTAATAAAAATAACTTTTTTTTAAACCATTTTTTGTTTAGTGAACATAACTAAACTATTTATTAAATATATAATGTGAAAATAAGACTATTTATTAACGTTACATTTTTAGAAACTAAACCAACAAAATTATATTTTTGATTATGTTAATTTCAAAACTCGACAAGAGATCATTTGGGGTCCGGATCTAGCTCAACTTTAAAAATTAATATATAGTAAAAATAAAAATAAAATACAATTTTTTGAAATAAAAGTATAACATATATTAAGTTATGCCTTTTTTAGGGGTACTCTGTGATGTTTTTTGGTTTCTTACGGTTATCTTGCAACACCCATATTATATAGAAACCGTAAATCGAGGATAACATTAGATTTAAGAATACTTACTTTTTTTAACGAGCTTATTTTGAATTTTTTAAACTAAACTGTCTTATATAACGGGGCCTATTAAATATAAGATGTATGACATACTATGACGTAATCAGAATAAATCAGATATATAAATAATTTCCGATTAAGCCTATTTGTAAGGCTGGATATATCACCCATCGGCGATAAACTTGTAAAATGATGTACGAGGAAAAAAAAGATCTTCCGAGATATTATTTTGATTAGAAAGTTATTGTTATAGATTTAACGTGATCGATGTTTACAATAGCTTCCATAAATAGGCTTATTTAAATATTAGTTTTTTAAATTTATTTTTCGCTTTATTTATCACTAAAAATTGATTAAATGTCAAATATGCCTTTTTATTTTTTAAAAAAAATTTAGGTTAATCTTATAAGTAAACTGTTTTTAAGTGTATAGATAATTATTTTTTACTTAACTGTTATTTTGTAATCATTTAGTTGTTTTTGTGAACAGTTTTATTTTAAATTATACACTACAGTTATATTTTTATATACTATAGCCGGGGCCATATTTAAGATTTTTCTGCCGAAGGGCCAACATTTTACCACTCTTCTTCCCTAATATGCAAAACTGAAAACAAGCATCTTCAACTTTCCATTAAAAAGCCGCTCTCTATGTTCGCAATTTATTTTCTCCATTTCAGTACACTATTACACAATATTTGTAATTAATATAAAATCCAATATAATAACGGAGTTTAAATTACTTAATTAAAGTTATAGAAAATTGTCTTTTATAAGTACCATAAACCTTTTGGTCTGAATGTCCGTTCCCCATAAAAATCAAGATTAAATTGATACCTATACATCAAAAACACACCATATAAAATAAAATACTATTAAATATATATAAATTGTATACACTACTAAATAATATAAATGAGCTTACAATAAAACTTCTATTTTTAATATAATTTTTTTTTATTCATTATTCATAATTAACTTTTTTTTTTGAGAATGTGATTGAAAAAAGTCGATTTATTTTTATTTAGAATCACTTTAAAAATTTTAATGCCCCCTTAAATATTTCAATAGGGCTATTGACTCCCTGAACCACCCTTTAAATATGGTCTTAACTATAGTTGATTAATTATTATTTTTATTAATTTTTATAAGATGTTTAGCACATATTTATTTCTACTCACCCGAGTATAATTAATGTGGATTTATAATACTGAAATCATAACTAAAAAATACTTATTAGTTTTTTAGGAAATAGTTTTAAGACGAGATTTTGTGTTACATTTTTCGTGATTTTTTTTTTTTTTTTTGATTTATGAATAAATGAGCCTAAAAGTTGTAAGCTCACTAAAAAGGAATCAATTTTACTATTATATGCGGGAAAAATCTATTCAATCGTATTTGAATCGCCGCGTGGGTACACGTGTCTGCGTTTTAATATGACGTTTCTCCGGTACTGACACAACAATAAGAACGTTGGCGTTTATTAATAATAAAACTTTGAAATGTTGGCAATATTATATATTATGTACTTCAATGGAGTTGACAAACTTTACTCATAACACTTGTATATAACTTACGTATCGACATAATAATAATACAGTATTTGAAGGAAAGGCTGTGCGGTGCATTTAACAATAATTGTTATTATTCCCATTGGCACATTCTATTGAAAAAGTATAAATATACGACTATATGTGTGTAGAAGTGATGTTCACATAGAACAAGTCAAATAAAATAACACATAATATATATATTATTATATTTTTAAATGGACAATTATACGTGGGATTTTCTCGAACTGAGGACCCGATTCATCTAAAGATTTTGATTTCAACAGGAAAAATGTTATATACTCAGAAGTTTTATAAAATTCTTATTATACAATTTGTTATCAACAATTTGTTATTATCAACATATTCATTGTTATCAACAACAGATTAATTAGTATTTCTTTTGTATCTGTATAAATTTTGAATAAAAATATATTTATCATTAATACAGCTAGAAACTTTAAAGTTGAAATTTCAATACGTTTTCATTAACCGTTTTTTATTTTTAAATTTGAATGAAAAAATTTACATGTCATCGTCCGAAGACAAAATAAACAACCAACCACGGGCGAAGTTGTGACCATTCGGCTAGTATACATGGCTAGTATATATATATATCTAGGGGAGCAGGGGGAGCAATTGCCTTCCTTAATTTGGTTAGTGGGTAGGTAATTGATCGATACTCAATGATCAATATTCAGACTTAACAAAAAGCATACATTAACTACATTTTTATTACATAATTTTACATTATGCGACCACAGTGACAAATTTTTTTCTAGGTGATTATTGAATAATTTTGTTTTGCACTCTTCCCCAATAATTCCAACTAGTTTGCGATACTGTCTATATATGTATCTTCAAGCGTAAATATTAGATACGTTGGTATTTTCACCGTGAACATTCGAGCTATTTTCCATTGTAACATATATAATGATATAAATAACTCAATACTTATATGTATCTGACGAGCGTGCGATTTCTTTGAGCGGAAGGCGGAGTTGTAAAAAAGTGTGTTTCGGTCTGGGAACGAATGGACTGACATTAAACGCGAAAGTAATTTGCGATGATCTGCTCCGAGAAAAGGTTAAAATAGATAGCGGTTAAGAAAGCAGTTCCATTCCGTAGGTTTAAACCGATTAATTGTAGGTCGGTTACGACTAATAGCAATGGGTTTTGATATTTATCGAACAAACTGTCTCTGTCCCTTATGACTATTGGCGTGTAAAACATCGTAATGCCCGTCCGCGGAAAAAGGCAATTATCGGCCGATATATATATATGAGTATACAGCAAGAAATAAATACCGTTTGATTCGCACATGTAGTCATATATAATATACCTGTTTTGGTGGTCTTGAACAGTTTTTAAGCAAATCCGTAAGTGTTTTTATTTTCTACACACTCGAGAAAGTTTTGAATACTCCGTAGTATAGACGGTTGGATACCGTCATTATCGTTTGGAATATTTTCTCTTGCCCTCAATTAGTCATCTCTCGCCTGATCCGGGTAGATTTGCGGTTCGAAAAACTTACCGGGTCTAGAGAACAACTGTATCCGGAATAAAATATACACCACGATAATATTAATACGTGAATACAACCGTGAATACAAGGTGCACTCACTTAATTCAAAATATAACACCTATAATTGCGTATTCATGTTATGTAATCTGATAATCTACATGACCATAAACTTGAAAAAATTAATCAATGGTATCTTATAATAAGCATAGGAGATTATCAACCTATTAGTTTATGTAGTATATTTTGTGATTGAAAATATTTGTACACTTAATTACAGATGTGTACTGAATGTTAACTTTTTTTTTTTGAATATATAATAATATAAAATATTTATTTGAGTAATAATTTTGAAATTATATTTTATATGTTACTATAAATTAAATGTAAATGTAATATTATGTATGTATGCAGTGTTCGGTTATAAAATAAATTCAATGTTTAAATCTAAAATATTATGCGTTCTGTAAATTATTTCGTATGTGTTTAATATGTAGTTAATTAACGTTAATCTCTAACTAATCGAAAAAGAATTTGGAACTATAAGAATATATAGAACTATATTTTAAGTTGACGAACATACCAGCAATAGCTATTAATATATTAGATATAAATAAATATACTTCCAATATAAAATTAATCGTAAAACAAAACAATGTTTGGAAGTAACATAGATGTATGGTTGCAGTGGAAACTATTCAAATTGTATTACGTTAAAAATAGAAAAGCTAGAATTCGTTTTATGCAGCAATATTTAAATAATGAATAACACAAATTGTTAAATGTATGTTTTTTAAGTTATATTGGATTTGTTCGTATACTAAAGTATTATATAGCATAAGTAACCAAAGCCTAACTTTCAACAGTACTAATCAATCAAAATGTAAAATGTTAGTAGTAAAAAAAAATAATTTATATTAAGTATGACTCGGAACTCTTACCCTGTGCCGGATATGTCCACGAGATTCCCGTAGCTTCGTCTTCGTCGAAATATATTAAATCTGATTGTTTATATGAAAATGCTTCATTACTGGCGGAAGAAAAAAAAACTAAAAAACTTTAAAACTCGTGATCACGACCCTTCTCTTCGCTGTTGAGACCGCGTTCTAAATAAGTACAACCTAATCGAACGACAACGTTGGGTGAATCGGTCTTGGGCACAGGTGAACGATTTATTACTAGTTACCAGCCTCTGGTTGGAGCTCGTGCGCTCGCATTCGAACTTGGTCGTTGGAGATGGCACGGACCGTTATGAACTGACATACAATATTGACCCCTCTCAAACGGCGGTGCTCTATAATAGTAGTAATGAAAATAATAATAATACGCGGTGAATGGTGATCGTGTTCACCGGAATTATTCGAAATAATTTGACTCACACTCTTTTTCTCATATACACAAACACACACACACACACACACACACACACACACATATGAGCACATAAGCACATTTGTTATTGTACGCATACTTCTACGATACCGTAACGACCGGAGTAGGATTCTTGTGTTTTATTATGTTTTGCGCGCATGGTTCATCGGATTTTTTAAACTAAATTCAGCCGTATGTTGCACGTGAATATTATGTATGTATTTATATACATTGTTTATTATACGTCCCGTTGCAGAGAGAAAAAATTTCAGAAGACATAAGTCCGTTAGTGTTCATGCGTGCTATTAAACATGATTTTAAAACCTGTAGATGTATTTGCATACACATTATACGCGTTAATCCGTTGCACGAGATGATCTGGTAATTGTATGCGTATCTGTTGTGCCTGTAGAAAATATAATTTTTTTCACTATTTCCCAGAGCACGGGAAAAATCGATCGCGGTGAGCTAGTTTTCCAACGGTATTTTTATTTCCGTCTCGGACGCGATAGAATAATATCAAAACTCTACGGTCGGTACACAATGGCGAGGACGTAAAAAATACGATAAAGGTAACGCAGAATCGTAACGCGATCAGTAGCAATATTACGCGAGAAGTTTGGGTCGTCTGGAATATCGATGTTACGGAACATCACGTTAAAATAAACGTGGAATGGTCTTGGACCGATGGTCGAACCTATACATGTATTGAGTAGGTTCGTGACGTTTCTGTTTTGGAACGCATCGTCATAACGTGGTGGTAGCAGCAGCAGCAGCAGTAGTAGTAGTAGTAGTAGTATTAATACCTGTAACAATACAATAATAATAATAATATTATAATGCACACGCAGTACGAGAGTGAATTGACCGGTCGCCGCCGCCGCCGACACTGCTGCGTGCCCCACTTTTTGAGAAATGTGGTTCCGTGAGACGGCGACTGTTTTAGACCTACTTTCCGGACGACGCGATGGCTCAGTGTTAAGGACGTTAAGGTCATTCGATAAGTAAACACTTCCTCCGGCGCGTTTCCATTTGTCGTGTACATAATATTATCATAATACACGCGCGGCCGTCGTTCCGACTAAAATAATATAACCGTTTCGGAACCGTTTTCCAGCGTTCTACTATCCCCAAAATCCACGTAAAATTATGTATCCACCGTGAAATTAATTATGTTACAACGTTGAGGAACGTTTTGTTGCGCATAGTTTTATCTAGATGCACTCGTACACGTAAATAGGTCTACAGTTATATAGTAGTAGTAACGTACAGTCCCCTGTATAAAGTACGTTTGCTCAGTGTCGTGAGTGGTGGAGGGGTGGGATGGGTGTCAGATCAATTTTTACAGATAAAAATTAAATATTATAGTATTCAACCAAAAGACATGTTTCTGACTGTTGAATAGTTTGAATTAATACGTATTCAATAATTATCTTAAAAATTACTAAACAGCGGAAAAAAAAAAAAAAATAAAACAATTTACTAAAAGTAAAAAAAAATTGAAGCTTTTCTGAAAAAAAACGACACTGTACTCGTGTGTAACAATGTTGATAATTTGAATTCGTTGAACCTTTTTATGTGTATAATTACAATGTTATGTATACCTATGTTATGTGTTTATCGTCTTCACATGTTATACATATATTACAATTTTTGAAAAGATTCGGGTAATTAGTGATTTGTTCTTATTAAAAACGTTTAGTTATATAAGACCTCTGTTTTGGGCTAATTTGTAATATAGATAAATTAAAATAAATAAATAAATAAAATTTGATTTTTACTGTTATAACTGTTTTTAATTTTTTATGATGTATAATTTAAGTAATTATTTGTAAGTATATAACTTTGTTGTAAAAATATCTCATAAACCAAATTTAAATTGTTGTACTACAATAAGTGCCCATGACTGATAAAATTATACATTCTTAAAGTATTTAGAAGACGAAAACTTTCATAATATTTAGTATTAAATAATTTTAATTTGTGATTTCTTCTAATTTATAATACATTTTTATTTATTCTATATTTTATGATTTACTGTAATTAAGTGTTACAAAATAAATAAATTTATTAATGTTGTGAATATTTTATACTTCATAAAGCTAATACGGGAAACGATAAACATTGATGATTTAAAATAATGTTATTTTACTTGTTAATTTAATAAAGGATTATACTCTAATTGATGTTAAAAAAAGGTAGAATATTTTTAAGTATAGTAAGTATACGAAATATGCGTTAAAATTCTTATTAAGCTCATAATTATTCACTATCATTTAACACCATATTAAGTGAGAATTATGTTCTCATGCTTGATTTTTTTTTTCGCTATAGCTTATGTCAGCAGAATAAATATTTGCCAAAGAATCCAGACCAGCATTCCAGAATAAAAAAAAAAAAAACTTACATCAAATGAAAACACTACACATTGTTGTCGCAAGTTGCATAAACACTGAATATAACACGTAAACCCTCATCTATGTTATGTAAACTAAACGGACAAACACAGTAGATTTAATTTTTTGGCCTTCCAAAGCTATGATATTATTTTTATATTCTCGTACAGTACAATATTATTCAATGTATTCATAAGTAATTGTAGTAATAATAATTAGTTTTAGACAATCATAAGGTGGGTCAGTTCATCGAAAAACTCATTCATTGACTTCATTAAAAAGTTTAAAAAGAATCGAACAGAACACATCAATATGTTTATTGTACGTGTATAAATAGTTGAATATTGTTCCATGATGATATTAATATGGTACCTGTGAGTATTTATGAACGACAATTGTCGTATAATGCAGTTAAACACGCGTAACATGGCCAATTTATGTGATCAGTATTAATATTTATTTTGTTCATACTATAATATATTACTTGGTTTAACTGTTGAAATTATTAACTCGGCTACAGTGTTGGTCCTATATGAACTATAATAGTTTATATATTAAGTTAAAAGTTTATTAATTTTGCAAACGGTGAAATATATACTTATATATATATATATAAATATAATTTTGTTATTAACGACAAACAGGTTCAATAAATTGGCATGGCGTGTACAATGTATCGGCGTCCTATGAAAACTACATTATAAATTGTCACCAACTATTTATAGTGTACGCGAATTAACCTTCTGTAATGTTTCCTAGGACAATACTAGATGTAGTTGACCTATTGTCGATTTTTTTTAAGATGCGTGAAACTAACCGTGTCCCCAATTTGTTGTATTTTGTTATATTGTAATTATATCATGAGTATTGAGGTTTGACTGATATAATTATATACCTCTACACAACATACATACAAAAGTTTAGTTTCAAAACGGAAATGCCTTAAGAAGCATTAAAAGTCAAGGAGGTACGTGTTACAGAAAATAATGATTTTACCATTTAAAATTTCAAAATTTTCATAATAAATTAATTCAAAATATTGGTCAACCTTTATTCCGAATATATTTGTACAGAATTCATAAACAAAATCGGATTAGTCTATCGGGATATCGGGAAACTTCTAGGTTGGCTGATGCTGTTAGGGCATCTATGGCCGTAATCAGTTTTTAATTTTACCATAAATTGTCATGATTTTTTTTCTTCAAATTTATCATTATTTATTATTTACTAGTTTACTACTTTATAATAATTATTTTAATTTTTGAATTCTTAGTAAGGGTACGGTACATCTTTTTGCACTGGTTCATACGATATTATTAATAATAACTTATAATTTATTTTATATTGAGTGACGAATTAGTTTGAAATAGAGTAGTATATTTTTTATTTTAAACAAGGACTGTAATCAATTTTAAAAAATGTTTCTTAAGGGATCGATTATTAGAATGTTAAATGGAAAATTTAATATACTTTAAACAAAATCCAACCAAAATAAGTATATGGGTAAAATGTAAGGATAAATATTTTTTTTTTACCTCAGAAGAGTCTTTATTATTTGTTTTCTTACGATGTATTTGGTAAAAATATAATAATTATATGTATATAAAAAAAAAAAGCTAAAAATTATTTCTATGAATTGAAGTATAAATTTGTTTTAAATGATTAAATTTGCTATCACTATATATATACAATACATATTTATGTATAGGTAAATTATTTATATATTTAATGCTTCTTATTAAGAACTATGAAGATAATCTTAATCTAAAAATATTGACATGAAATAATGAAAATATTAGTAAGATGTATGAAAGAACCATTCGAAAACTTTGAATAAAAATATATTGTGGTGTCATGTATGAACATTTTATATTCTATGCACAAATGTAGTTCATTTAAAGCATACTAGATTATAATCCGAGAAATTGTATTTTACTTTTTAATATTTAAATTTTTTAGATAGAGTTATGTTACTGTTATAAAATTATTACTGATTTTTTTTTGACATACTTTATAATAATAAAAATTTTAAAATTAAACCTTTTCAATAGTGGTGGTTATCGTACATAATAATGTTAAATCTAGCTAACAAGATACAACCCACCGATATTGACACAAAATGCTAATTAGCAATATTTAAATTGTTTATGTTATCTGTAAATACAAAAAAATTAAAAATAAATAAAAATATAAAAGATAACATTTTACTATCATGAAATGAAAAATTTCAAATTTTAACTTTTAAGTATAGTACCCACTGAGTTATTTAAAGAATGTTGACGTTTCATAATAAAACTAAGAATATCATTGTTTGTGAACGAAAAAAATGTGTTTTATTTAAAGACATAAAACAAATTAGCAATGCCATATATTTTTGATTTAAACTGAGTTTCTGAGTAATAATAA